AACACTTTGATTAAAGGCTGTCATATGTTTTGTATATATTCCTCAAGGCATATTCAGACTGATAGAAGGTTTCCCATGGTGCTGATTGGCACACCCTAGGCTTCCATTTTTCTAAGCACGTTATCCCTTTAGGAGCAGTTAAATTGTCTTCCTCTTATGGGTATCCACTTTTGTTCAGGGAATGATGGTTCCTGGCAAAGTTTCCATTTTGGGGAGTTGGAAACCTTTTGTGTTGATTCTGGGAGTCCTCAAAATCCAGCTGTCTTCAACAGGTCACTTGTGACAGATCTGTAATATTGTTGTAATTTTAAAACTGTTAATGAGCAAACTTAATTTGCCGTATAAATTACCAGTGCTAACAAAGATTCTTACCCACTATACGGTAGTGATTGTAAAATTAGAATAAAATGCTTTACTTCAGCTTTGGAGAATAAAAATTTTGGCTCAAAAAATTTCATTTGGTCAACATATATCAATAAAACAAATGTTTTCTTTGTTACCTCAAATCCAAAGTTCTAAAGTTAAAAAAAAGTAAAATCCAATATTATATTTTCTCTCTGCTTTATTTAATACTCAGCATGACTGATTATTTCAAAGGGTGATAGGAAAAATTTTTTAAACTATTAACAAGAAAATTGTTTTTAACTGATTTTAACAGAAAAGTCTACATATATATATATTTTAATTGTTTTTATTAATTTGTTTTTGTTACAGATGTTTCTCCCCCCCCCCCCATTGACACCCTCCTCCCCATCCCCCTACCCCATCCCCAGCTTTGTTGTCTATGTCCATTGGTCATGCATACATGTGTATAAGTTCTGTGGTTTATCTCTTTCACCCCTAACCACTCCTCTTCTGAGGCTTGTCAGTCTGTACCCCACCTCTATGCCCCTGGGTCAATTTTGTTCATCAGTTTGTTTAGTTCATTATATTCCACAAATAAGTGAGATCATGTGATATTTGTCTTTCTCTGCTTGGCTTGTTTTGCTTAGCATAATACTCTCCAGGTCCTTCCATGCCATCTCAAAAGATAAGAGATCTTTCTTTCTTACACAATAGTACTCCATTGTGTAAATGTACCACAGCTTTTTTATCCACTCATCTACTGATGGGCACTTGGGTTGTTTCCAGATCTTAGTGATTGTAAATAGTGCTGCTGTGAACATAGGGGTACATATATTCTTTCTGATGGGTGTTTCAGGTTTCTTAGAGTATATTCCTAGAAGTGGGATCACTGGGTCAAATGGCAGTTAATTTTTAACTTTTTGAGGTAACATTATAGTGTTTTTCACAGTGTCTGCACCAGTCTGCATTCCCACTAGCAGTGTACTAGAGTCCCCTTTTCTCCACACCTTCACCAACACTTGTTTGATGATTTGTTGATGGCAGCCATTCTGACAGGTGTGAGGTGATACCTCATAGTTGTTTTAATTTGCATCTCTCTGATGATTAGTGATTTTTAAAAAAAATATTTGACACATCAAGACTTTGTCTGTCATCCTTGCTCTAGGGCCACGCTGATCTTCTGTGTCATCTCAATGTTAGTGCTGCTGAAGTGAGCACTCTATAATCTTTACGTCTCTCTCTTACACACACACAGTCAAGTGTGAAACTGGTTCAGGATTAAGTCTCATGATTTATCGGATAAGGCAGAAAACTTGAAATCTGAGCTTTCTGAGTCAGTGATTTTACTGGATGACCTTGGGCAAGTCATTTACACCCTTAGCTTTGGTTTCCTTATCTTAAAGACAGGCAAATTCATTCTTTCCTATTCTATGTCGTAGAGATGCGGTTAAAGAAAAGCAGACGATGTACCAACATTTTGAACTTCTGAGCTTCATTTAATTCAATAATTATCATTCTCTACTCTAGCTCTTTAGAGAGATATTCAGTGAAAGTCTAGGAGATAATGTTAGCTAATTAGGTATGTCACACCTACACTGTTTAATTAATACAGCGAGTTGTTTGAATGTGACACTCCTGTATAGCAGGTGCTTTCACAAGGTTCGGTCTGTTTATTAGTCAAGCTCTTTAATGAACTTATCTAGAAAGTATAGAGTTGGAAGATGGGTGTGTCACGTAGGTAACTATATTCAAATGTGTCTAAATAGAATTTTCTTTCTTTTTTTATTATTATTTTTTATTTTCAATCTTCACCCAAAGACATTTTTAGATAGATTAGAAAGGAGGGAACGGGAGAGAGAGAGAGAGAAACATCAATGTGAGAGAGACACATCGATTGGTTGCCTCCCACACGAGGGCTGGGGACTGAACCACAACTGAGGTACGTGCCCTTGACTGGAATCGATCCCACGACTTTTTGGTCTGAGGGCCATGCTCTAACCTCCGAACCAAACTGGCCAGGACAAATTTTCTTTTTTTCAAAATATATTTTTATTGATTTTTTAGAGAGAGAGAAGGAAAGGGAGGAAGAGGGGGGAGGGGAATGGATGTGAGAAAGAAACATCGATTAGTTGTCTCCCTTAGGCAATCCAACAGGGGATCGAACCCATAACCTGGGTGTATGCCCTGACCAAGAATCACACTAGCGACCTTTTGGTGCATAGGATTTTGCTCAACCAACTGAACCACACTGGCCAGGGTAGAATTTTCATAGTAAAAGTTAACATACTTTTTAAAAACGGCCAATCGATGTTCTCTCTCATCGATGTTTCTCTCTCTCTCTCTCTCTCTCTCTTTCTCTAGAATCAATAAAGAAAAAAAATTTTTTTAAATAGTAGAGATCTATCTGTGTTAAATTAACTAAAGTTGAACATTGAGCGTCAGTCTTCTTGTGGATTCCTCGTGTCCTGAGGAATGTCACAGCCGCATTGAGTGTGAGCCATGGCAGGGGGGTGGCCTGGGCTCAGGAAACAGGCAGTTGTCACTCTTGCTCCCCAGTGGCCTCACATCCTCCTACAGACACTCTTGAACTGAAACTGGGACTGGTCATTGGCTGCTCAGGTAATTAGGTGATTTGGTGGGGAGAAACTATCATTTATATTCGGAAAAGAGTGTTTCCTTTAGAAAGTATAGAATTGTTCATTCTCTAACTGTAGTATATTTCCCAGCTTCAAATGCAGGTCACAGGCCACATTACATGTTATATATAAACCAAGCTCCCATTGTACAGCCTTCTTAAAATACAAGTCAAAGGAGGTGTAGTGATTCAAAGAGTGAGAAGGCCATGGGTTTGGAACATACACACCTGAGTTTGCATTCCGGCACATTTCTTAACTGAGCGTCACTTTTAAAAAATCTTACAGAATAAGAAGAATACCCTGCCTGCTGAGGGTTATGAAGATTGACTACTTTTTGGGGGGGGAAGAGAATTAAAGAACTGTGGACACCTTTCCCATATATTTAGGGAGCGAGTTTTAGCCCAGCCTTGGTTTGGGATAGAAGCCAAAGGTTCTTTAAGGTGGTAAATGGAGCTGTGTTTAAGTCATAACTTTTTCTTCCCTTGTTCTCTCATAGGCCCTCCACTTGCTCCTCTGTTGCCCTCTTCTAACTCTTCATTTCTGCCATGATTCCTCTCTAACTGAAACCTCTCCTGAATGAATTCCCGTCACCAGGTCCCTCAAAGGTCTGCATGTAAATACCAGTCGACATTTCTTAAAGTCATAGGGACTGACTGTAGCCTTTGTCCCTGATCCACGGCAAATACATCTTAGTATGAAATCGATAAACCTTTAGTTCGGAAGAAAACACTCTGAACCACAAAGTTTTTCATTAAAATTTTTAATTATTCCTATCTTACATATTCATAGTATGTAGAGGAGAAAAACACTTTTCATCCACAGTCTTATGCTTTGTGTCTGGGGCCTGTGCATGAACCTGACAAAAGGCAGATTTTCAGGAGAAAAGATGTACAAATGTATGGACATTTTATTTTCCCCAAATAAAGTGTGTTATATTTTATTGATTTAGTACTTTTCATCTTTCATGTATGGGGGCTTCATAAAAAAGAAGCGAAGCCCTGGCCGGTTTGGCTCGGCGGTTAAGCGTCGGCCTGTGGACTAGAGAGACCTGGGTTCAGTTCCCACTAAGGGCACGTCCCTCAGTTGCAGTTTGTCCCCGGCCCTGGTTGGGGTCATGTGGGTGGCAGCCACTCGGTGTGTGTCTCTCACATCGATGTTTCTCTCTTTCTTCCTCCCTTTCTCCCTCCCACTCTATCTGAAGATGAATGCAAAAAATGTCCTCGGGTGAGGATAAAAAAAAGTGAAAACCCAAAGAGGTGGTTAGACCTGAGAGCTTATATACTATCTTAACAAAGAGCAACAAATTGTGGGGAAGTAACTAGACAAAGAAGAAGGCTGTTTGGGCTTCTAAGGGCAAAACACTGTGGGGAAATGTATGGTAGACAAGGGTTGTTTAGTAAGGTTTTCATGCAGGCTCCTCTCTGTGCATCTTCAGTGATTAATCGTCACCTCCTCTTCCTGGCATGGGAGAGCGGGGCACCTTTACAAGTGGGAAATTTATGGCCTGCGTTTAGGCAGATGGGAGAGAACAGATAGCTCCTCGCATGTCTGCTGGTTCTCAATTGCCTTTCGCTCAAAATAATTCTTATGGCAAAGTGGCATATTTTGATCCCCTCCACGTATAATAGTTGGAAAAACATATTCTCTATTTAATATAGACTGTAAGACTGTTTCAGTATAGTCATGGCTGAAGCCGTGAACAGGCACAGCTATGTAAGTGTTTACTCTGCATTGTACTGAAGGCACTGCACTGGAAGCCAGCAAGCATACCTCTTTGTACAATGTACCTTCTTTTCATTTGCGTTGTTTGCATGGTGAACCTGGGATTATTTTGTTGATATGCATAACAGGTAGCTCACTGCACTCCCTGTACAGCATGAGGATTGGTTATGGTTATTTTGAGGTCACTAACATGGAATTCTACCTGTATTCATAACACTATGCCCATAGTGAATGAGCCAATGATTGACTTGCACTTATAGATTATTAAATATTTTTCCATTTTGGTTTTTCTGACAGCAGTGTGCAGGGTCAAAGACAGCTGGCCCCCCATGTCAGTGGTCTAGGATGGCCAGTGAAGCCACCAACATCCCAAGTCCTGTGGTGCGCCAGATTGACAAGCAGTTTCTGATTTGCAGTATATGCCTGGAACGGTACAAGAACCCCAAGGTTCTCCCCTGTCTGCACACTTTCTGCGAGAGGTAAGCCTCCCTCGTGCATGAAGAAGGGAATTTCACAGACTGACCTCCTACCGAGGGTTCTTTCCAGAATTCTCCAGTTACCTATGGGAGAGAATAAATCTTTGGTGCTTCTGGTAGATATCTAGAAACATAATCATGAGTTGTCGATAATTTACTTTATTTCAAATAATTATAAGTAGGGCAAAAAACAAACACAAAATAATCTAGTGGCTGTTCATTCATTTCCATAGGAGATGGAGCATTAAATATTTGAAAATTTAAAAATTTTTTAAATTTTCCTTTGTTTTTATGAAACAATTTTTGCCAACCACATTTCCTTCACAAAGGATCTTTGGTGAGAGACAATTAAAAATCTATCATTTCCTCCCATATAACAATCAGGTAACAATATCTGCATTTATGAGGGGGTAGTTAAAAGGAGAGAGCCTCCTTCCAAAAATAATTCAGAAGACACATATTAATGCCACATCTGAACATTATGATATTTCAGATGAAGAAAAACACTATATATATGTAGCAATTATAAATTACCAGAATGTGCAATTTGCTCTATATAAAAATACACGTCCTTTATTTATCTTCCTTTTTTAAAAAAAATTTTTTCTTTATTGATTTTAGAGAGTGAGGAACGGAGAGAGAGAGAGAAACATCGATGAGAGAGAACATCGATTAGCCGCCTCCCGCATGCCCCCCACTGGGGATTTGGCCCACAACTTGGGCATGTGCCCTGACCGGGAATCGAACCAGTGACCTCTTGGTGAATGGGTTGACGCTCAACCACTGAGCCACACCAGCCAGGCCTTATTTATCTTTCTTGAGTGGTTTTTTTCCATCGAGTTAATCATTTATCAGAATACACATTTAGCTCATGTTCAACTTCCCATACAAGCAATTAAGCATAAAGATGTTGTTAGTAATTAGTGGCCTAATTTAAGTATTTCCCTAGTAAGATTGTGTATTTTTCTTAAAAACAAATATGGTAATTATATTTTATAGCAATTTGTTAAGTAGTCTGCTATTATTACTTAATATACATCATTGGAATGCTTTTCTTTCTGTTACAGAACAGAAATTGGTATTTCCAATGATTTCAAGTCAATGTTAATTACATCTACCGTCCAATTTAACATAGATTTGTTAACTGATTGAGTGTGCTTTGAGTTAATTTACTTTGGAGGATCTCAATTGCAGTAGAAGAACTATGTCCTTGGTGGTGATGGAGGGTGGGAGAGGGGATTTGTTATTGGTAGTTATGGTTTTTCATTTGTTTGCTTTGCTTTCTTTGTGGTGGATTGTTTTGGGATTTTGTGTGTATGTGTGGATATAGGGTTTTTTGTTTGTTTTAGTGGTATATAGGGCACCAATACTAGTTATTTTGTTCATTTTATACTTTGGCTTAAGTGCTTTGTAATTCATATTCCAAAATGACTAAATGGACAGTTATTTTCCCCCCTCACCCAGTAGGTGTAGCTAACACAAGAATACCAGCTAACTGTCCCCGTGTCCCTCCGCTTGCGTGGGAAGATCATGATTTGATTTGCAGCAATTGCCGTAGCCTGTGGCTCTTTGAATACAGCGCTGAGAGCCCCTCATCCTGAGCCGGGCAGAGCTGCCCCACCCCCACTGTTCAGTGCCCAGCTGGCCTGTGGTCTGGTTCCCATTTTCTTGTTCTGACAGGTGAGAAGCAACACTCTGGGCTGCCCTGAGTCTGCCCGCTGCCCTCCTGGTTAGGTCTAGCCTGACCCACATATGAGTGATAGAGGTGCTGGTCTTTGAAACAGGAAGAAGACACAGCCTGGGGGACAATCATGGGTTTGGTTTGGGACACGCTGAGTTTTAGAACCTGAGAGACATCTAAGAGGAAATGTGAGAGGCAGCTGGTGTACAGACCTGGGCTCAGAGGACACAGCTGTGGGAAGAAATGTAAACGCGGAATGTTATGCTTTCGGCGGGCACGTGATAAAATATCCCAGAGAGAGAAGATGGAGCCCGGACTAACCCCACCCTGTGCTGCCTCAGTAGGGAAGACAGAGCAGACAGGAGAACCAGGTGAGGGTGGTATCATAAGCCAAGGGAAGACTCATTTCAAAGAAAGGGGGTCGGGGTGGAACACAGTGGTCAGGTTGGATGAATGCTGCTGAGAAGTCTCGTGAGATAGGAGTGGAAAAGGTTTACTGGATTTGGATGGCATCAGTGTTTCAGTTCTGGTACTGATTCAGCCCTAGCTACCTCTGTGACATAAGGAAGGTCAGTTAACCTCCTTGGTGTCAGTTTCCTCATCTGCCAAATAAGAGATAAGGGTGAAATCACTGGTTTTCGAATTCTGTTTGGCCCAGGAACTGGAAAACATTGTACAGTGTCATTATTTAGAGTTTAGATTCTGGTGCCAAATTGCCTTGGTTCGAATTCTTGCTCTGCCCCTGACCACCTAAGACCCTTGGGCAAGTAACTTAGCCTCTCTCTGCCTGTGTTTTGTCATATTCTAAAGGTGATCACAGTAGTACCTCCTTCATGGGGTTGTTGGAAGTATTTTGAGTCTAGTGGTCAGTATATATGTTGGTCATTATTAGCAATACATTTGTTGATTAAATGAGTTGATGCCCGTTAAGGAGAGGCAAGAAGAGATATCGTGTTAGTGTGAGTCTGGGTGTCCCATTCCTGCTTCACAGAAACACTTCCACTTGGGGTGTGTGTGTGTGTGTTTTAATATTTTTATTGATTTTTTAGAGAGGGAGAGAGAAAGAGGAAAATATTGATGTGAGAAACAATCGGCTGCCTCCTGCATGCCCCCTACTGCAGTTCAAGCCTGCAACCTGGGCATGTGCCCTGACCGGGAATTGAACCAGCAACCTTTTGGACGACGCCCAGCTAACCGAGCCACACCAGCCGGAGCTGGATGTGTTTTTAACAGCAGAGATCTGCTTATAATTTTGTACATAAAAAGAGTTTCAATGCTAACCAAAAGTGTGACATGATTCTCCCAACTGTAAAAGTCCATAAATTCATGACCACCAGACTAGATATTCTAGATCAATGCTTCTCAACCTTCATGTGTGTACAAATTGCCTGGGATCTGATGCATCGGGCTGGGAGTGAGCCTAAGACTCTGCATTCTTCCAAGCTCCTTGGTGAGGCCAATGCTGTCTGTCCACCGGCCACACTTGTGTGTGTGTGTGTGTGTGTGTGTGTGTGTGGCAAGGCTCAAGAAAACCAAAGTCAATGGCATTACTCTTTTCTTAACAGGACCAGTGTGAGTATAGGTTACCTCTCAGTTTCTGAAATATTCTTTTCCTAGTAAAGGAAGTTGCAAAGGCCATTTCTGCCAAGTGGCCTGTGTAGTTGCGGAGAACCTGTGGTACCTGTGAGAAGTGGCGGTTCCGTTCCCTGAGCCCCACTGTGCTGACAGCCCCTGGCGTCTGCTTCTGTTTCTGCCACAGGTGCCTGCAGAACTATATTCCCGCCCACAGTTTAACCCTCTCCTGCCCAGTGTGCCGCCAGACCTCCATCCTGCCCGAGAAGGGGGTGGCCGCGCTCCAGAACAACTTCTTCATCACGAACCTGATGGATGTGCTGCAGCGAACGCCTGGCAGCAACGTTGAGGAGTCGTCCATCCTGGAGACAGTCACTGCAGTGGCTGCAGGAAAGCCCCTCTCTTGCCCGAACCACGATGGGAATGTAAGTCACTGTCCACCCGGTCGCATGACTGCTTGATCGGGGCCAGCTTTAGGCACTCAGAGGTTCTACGTGAAAACAGAACTCCGCCTGGAAAAGGAGGAATTAAAACAGATTTTTTTCCCCAGCCCTCAGACTAGTTTGCCTGCGTACTTTCTCTGATCCAATTTACTTAAATAATAAAATCAAACTTCACCGTGTCTGTGAGCACAGATTGTTGGTTTCCCCAGGAGAGCAAGCCTGTAACTATTTGCAAGCTGGGCATACGTTGACCCACATAAACATCTGTGTAATAAATTATGGATAAAGATTTAATAATAGATAAGTTCTGCAAATTGAGGATGTTTATGAAAATGTGAATTATAGTGCTTTATTTTTTGCGAGGGAAATTTTCTCATGCTCCGTTAAAGTCTATTCTTTTTTCTTTTTTTATCCTCACCCGAGGATATTTTTCCATTTTTTGTACAGATAGAGTGGGAGGGAGAGAGAGGAAGGGAGAGAGAGAGAGAAACATCGATGTGAAGGGACACATCGAGTGGCTGCCACCCGCACGACCAACCAGGGCCAGGGACAAACTGCAACTGAAGTACGTGCCCCTAGCGGGAACCGAACCCAGGTCTCTCTGGACCGCAGGCTGACGCTTTAATCACTGAGCAAAACTGGCCAGGGCTATTCTTTAGTAATAAGTAGAATTTGAAGATATCTGAGTCCCTGATAATAGATTATAAATTATGAATTCCAAACATATTTCCTACTATTAGAAAGCACAATACTGTTATAAACTCAGGGGGACCTGCGTGTATCATCAGATAATTGATTCACAAAGGCTATGGAACCCAAGGGGCCAGCATTGCGTGGTAAAGAGCCCTGGCTTTGGAGTCAGGCTGCCTGATTCAAATCCTGTGTCAGCTTTGGCAAGGTGATCAAACTCTCTGTGTCTCAATTTCCCATCTATAAAAAGGACGTAATAATAGCATTTACCATATAAGATAATTGGGAAAATTAAATGTTTAAGTCATATAAAGCATATATATAGTAAGCTCTTAACAAATGTTAGCCATTAAAATTATTTCTAATTAATAACTTCAGTCCCTTTTTGTCTTATATGATGACCACTTCAAAAGTGTTTGAAACTGCTGGTAATATAAGGCCCAGGGATAATAAAACCACTAAAGCAACGGGACATTGTTTGAGCAAAGCAGTTCTTATTAGCCGTACCTAGTGTTTATTTGCCTTATCTCATACCACCCTCTCTGCCCACTATGCGACATCCTCACTGCCTAGAACCTGCCATGGGGTTTCCCCTTTCGGGGACTGGCTGCTCTGTGTTTCTTGGGCCTGGATGCTCTTTGCTCTCTCTCGACATGGCTAGGTCATTCATCCTCGTGCGTCAGCTCAGAGTTCTGCACAGAGCGGACTTCTCTAACTGCACAAGGCTGGCCACCTCTGACCCAGTTGCCCTCCATCGCATCACTTCTTGATTTTCTTCTTGGCATTCACCGCGCTCTGCCTGCCTTCATCTGTGCGTTTGTTGACTTACTGATCTTCTGGCTTTCCTTGTAGAAAGAGCTCAGGAGGGCGGGGACCATGTTCACCACTGTACCTCCAGCACTGAGCACGGTATCTTATACAGAGAAGTATGGAACTCATTGGAGACCAACCAGATGAAAACAAGCAAAGGCTGTGTATTCTGAACTTGCTAAAACAAGGAGTCAGCCGCCCATCACTTGTGTTTTGGCAGAAAGTCAAAGGCAGGCAGAGGAGTGGGAACCTCAGTAGGGGAAGAAGGGAAGGCTTTCGGGTGTGCCTGATGCGAGGCTATCGGCTTGGGGATGCTGGAGGCGGGCTATCCAGAAGGGGGCATCTATGAGATTGGTTAGGGATACATATTTGGCTTTCTATAATTGGTCCTAAGTTGGGAGCAGAGATAAAACTTAGGGAAGCTATCAGTAATCAAGTCCAAGCCATTTGGGGCCAAGTTACTGAAATTATTGTTTAGCTTTTTGGATTGCTACTAGAGATAGCCATCTGACTTCCTACAAATTGGAAGTATAGCAGGCTGACTTCCTGGACTGTTTATTATAGATATGGAGTCAGTTTCCTTGGCAGGTTGTGGGTCAGAGTTCTATTTTTTAAAAATATTTTTATTGTCCAGCCGGTGTGGCTCAGTGGTTGAGCATCGACCCCTGCACCAAGAGATTGCTGGTTTGATCCTGGTTAGGGCACATGCCCAGATTGTGGGCCTGATCCCCAGTGGGGGGCATGCAGGAGGTGGCCAATTGATGTTCTCTCTTGTCGATGTTTCTCTCTCTCCTTCTCACTTCCTGTCTCTCTAAAATCAATAAAGGGAAAAAAATTTTAGAAAAAAATATTTTTATTTATAATTTTAGAGAGAGAAGAAGAGCAAGAGAGAGAGAAACATCCATGCAAGAGCGGAATATCAATCAGCTGCCTCTTGCACGCCCTCTACCGCGGATCCAGCCTGCAACTCAAGCATGTGCCCTGACCAGGAATCAAACTGGCGACCTTTTGTTGGTGCATGAGATGACACCCAACCAACTGAGCCACACCAACTAGGGCACAGTTCTGTTTTTATATATGGCCTGGCCAGTGTCCATCAGTGTCTCAGAAGTCAATCAGTACCTATTTGTTAACAAATGTGCCAGACACTGTGCTTGATTTCTTACATACCACTTTGCAAAGTAGATGTTAGTTACCTTCATTTTATAGATGAAGAAGCAGACTTGAACAGTTTAAGTCACACATCTAAATGACATGTTATAAAAGCTGGACCTGGAGGAAAACGCACCCTGAGCTTTTTGGGAACCAAAACAAGAGCGACATCATGGATTACCTATCTTTATTTAATTGGAAGCATACCAGGCTATCAGTAACTACAGGTTTTCTGCACACTATACTCCAAGGGAGAGTTTTGTAAAAGGAACTTTAAATGGTGCCTTTAAAAGCTGTTTGAGTATTCTCCTTATGACCATTTCTCACACTCTCTGGGTGAACGCTGAGGCTGTCTCCGCCTGGAGACATTCTAAATACTAGTCTGGGAGGGCATTTTTCTCAGGTACAAGTCCCCTTCAAGTATCGTCCAGGCATGGAGCTCTCTGGAGGGCTGACTTAATAGGAGACCTACTGTAGACACTAGTCTACATTTGGGACTTAAAGAGCAATCATTTAGAATGAGAAATAATGACAACTGGAAAGATGACATCACTAAGTGTGGTTGAATTCAGGGAAGAGCTTGTAGCTCCGTGCAGCTAGAGGATGGAGGGGGTGCGGTGGGGCAGGAACCCAGGTGGGCGGGAGAACACAGGACGGAGCCTGGAGAGAAAGATGGGGAGAGAAGGTGACGAGCTATGAGTGTCATTGAAAAAATGTTTGACCTAAATTCCATAAGCAATGGGGAGGCATTAAAACCTTAAAACAGGCCCTGGCCACTTTGGCTCAGCGGTTAGAACGTCGGCTTGTGGTCCAGAGAGACCCAGGTTCGGTTCCCACTAAGGGCACGTACCTCGGTTGCAGTTTGTGGCCCTGGTTGGGTCGTGCGGGTGGCAACCACTCGATGTGTCCCTTTCACGTCGATGTCTCTCTCCCCGCCCCCCCCACTCTATCTGAACAAAAAAATGGAAAAATGTCCTCGGGTGAGGATTAAAAAAATACAAACAAAAACCTTTAAACAGGAGGTGAGTATTTTAGTGGCAGAAATATGGAGGCTGTGACACCAATTCTGATTGTATTGAGTTGTCCGAATGGGAGATGCTAAGGGGTAGAATAGCATCAGTGGACTTGGAAAAGAAAAGGTGACTTTCAGAGAAAGTGTACCCTTCTGATTGGTAATCTGCCTCCCCCAAATAAAAAGGAATATGCTAAAATCTGTCCAAGTTATTAAGTTTGTGAGATTTTGAACAGTTAAAACTGGTCATATATTAACAACATCACTATATTTTCTGATTGTGTAAACCAAGTTCCTGCACCACAAAGCACTTAAATTACATTAGAAATATGTTATAGAAGAAATCCACACTTTTTAAAAGCTCACAATTATTTAATAAAAGGAAAAAATAGCAAAATTAGACTATAAAATATGGAAAGTGGAAGCTTTATTAAATATATAGGGTAAAGTCAAATCTATACTCAAGAAATTTTATGGGTTTAGGTATTTTTCTTTATTTGAAGAATTCAATTCAAAAAGTTAGGAAAAACAACAAAATAAATATGTAGGACACAAAAGAAAGAAAATAATAAACTTAGTTTGAACATAAAACAATTGAGTAGAATAAATCTAAAAGCTGAACATTTTAAACAAATAGTGAAATAATTTGACACCTGATAAAGCAATAAAAGAAAAATATAAGTAAATCAAATTAAGACTAATAAAGAACTATCAGTACAGATAAAAAAAATTTTAAATGAGTAAATTAATTCTGTGTGCTAAAGGCTAATAGATTAAAAATCTGAATGAAGTGGATGATTATCTAGAAAATTATAAATGCTCAAGAAAACCTGACTAGACCTGACAATCTTGAATGAAACTGGTAAAAAGTTCATTTAAAACTGGATTCCTTCAAGCCTGCATAAAACAGACATGATTCATAGTGTGTATACTTCTGGGTCATAAGAAAAGATAGAAAGCTCCCCAACTCATAACTCTAACACCAATATCTAGTAAGGCAAATCAAGAAAAATTAAAAATCATTAATATTAATGGTTAGTATTAATCATTCAGTTTATTAAAATAACTGTAAAATTCTTAATTAAAATACCTCACCAAATTCTTACAATGTAAGAACACTTAAGAAAATTAAGAAAAATATGCACATTATAAAAGAAAATGGGGGAAAAAAACTCAGATGATTCACTGGGGATATATAATGGTTAACAGTTAATAATCATATGATGAAAAAATGCTGAGCTTCTCAAATAGGCAAATCTCAAATTAGCCAAAATGGTGAGACATTTTCCTATCCTGTGGGTAGAAGGGAGGGTAAGTT